CAAATTCAAAAACACAAGAACATTAATGAAGAGTTACAACATTGACAAAACTAAAAGGCTATGTCCCATTTGGAGACCTGAGAAGTCGCTGATTGGACAATAGGCATGAATACGTACTACGTCACCGCCGTCTTGAAAGTGGCAGTGAGGAAAACGTGCTGCATGGACTAGTTTAAACAGTTTTACAGTACAAAGTGGACCTAGTGCCTTTACCTTTCACAGGTAAGAATTAAAGATAATAATAACGTAAGTTTACAAGCAGAATTTGATGACTTTGTGTCCAGCACTGGCTACATTCCATGGTGAAACAAACTTCTAAATAACCAAGGAATATTTCCTTTGTTAATCAACTAATAAAAATCTGAAGACGATTGTACCACAACATTAATGTGACCAAATTAAATAAATAAATAATGCAATGCAGCAGCATGTACAAGTGGGTTTCTCACAGCTGAACAATATTTTCTTTTTTATGGTAATTAAATTAACTAATTTTTGACTCATGCTCATTTTGACCCTTCCCTTGCACCTGGCGCCCTCTGTTGGCTGATTTCCAAAGATTACAAATAAACAAATGTATTTCCAGCATAACATAAGTGTGGATTCAGCTGAAGGAAGAGTTCTGGGAGGTTTTCACACACTGTTTTAAATGTTAGCATCCTTTATATGCAAGCACTGGTCAAAAATGCAACAAAATGTGTTGAACAAGAAAAGGTTACAAAAACAAATCAACACAAATTATTTGATGGAAGCTTTGGGGTTTGTGGTTATCAATATTATTGCTGATATTGAGCAATTGTTATTATATATCAGCAATAACAATTGCTGATATTGCTGAAGGAATTATTCATGACACTTAAATAATAAGGTAAAGTACGCCTGAAACTCACGATTATTTTAGTAAGGAATAGTCTATCAATTATTCTGACAATTAACCAATTAATAGGATATAAAATTTCCACATTCTGCAAAAAATTTTTTAACCACTTATGTATTTTTAAAGCGTATTAGAAAAACAAGTAAACAGTCCAATTACTTTTTAAAATAAAACTGTTTCTTGCTTAAACATAGCATCTCTTTAATGAACATGTGATTTTTTTGTGTAACTAAAGATGCATTTGCAGCTAAGAAATACACATCAACCTGTGAAAAGCTCAGCCGTTTCTAATCAACTTATCATCAATAACAGTGTAAGGCTGATCTGTTGACTATTGTTTGGGTTAGCCGATTAATAATTAGACAGTAAAATATGCTTAATCTGGTTTATTTTTTTTGACTGAATTTGAACTGAATTTGAGGAGATCTGGATAGGTTTACCAAAAAATGGCTATTTTAATCTTAAATACAAAATGTATATATTTTTGGTACAATTTTTGTTTAATTATTGGGCTGAATATGTTCTTTTTAACAAAATGGCCATTTTTAGACGGTGTCTACTCCATCAAATGATTCATTCTCAAATCAGGTAAATAAGCTGCGTAGAATTATTTTTTTTTTTAACTCAATCTGCACATTTCTTATCATATTGACAAAAAAAAAACACCAAATTCCCATCCAGACGCAAACTGTAAACCAGTTAGCATTAATACTGACCGCCCAACAAACCGTTCGAAGAATCATCCGGCACAGCCAGTCAGGACCAACCAACTGTAACTTTCCCTTTAAGAGCGAACAGTTTGTCTTTTCACATTCTGCATCACAGGAGAGATGCTCATTAAAAGCTCCTCCATTCCTCACTGTTTCATCAAGTGAGACTGCCAAGCTCTTTAACTCAGTGTTCTTGATGTTTGTGCTGTTTGTGTAAAAACCCATCTGTTTCCTCGCCTCTCTGTTGGCAGAGGGTCCACCTCATCCGTATGCTTCTCTTTTTGAAGTCATGTCAAAATCTCATTTTTATGCATCTACGATATCCAACTTGTCATCAGCACAGCAAAAGTCAAAGAGGGCACTCCTTAAATAGCTCCTTTCTTTCCTTTATGTACAATGCATGCAGAAACAAGGACAGGAAAAGATTCACAGCCAGAAGATTTTAGGATTTGCAGAGCTGCTGTGATTATTGTTTTACAGACCGAAAGGAGATTAAAACGCATGATTGTTTTCTGGTTCAATAACAATAGTTTACAGACATTTCAAGAAATGGGTGGCAAATATTTGTCATTGTTCATTTAATTTCTTTGTTGCACAATAGACAATTCCAGTCAGAAGTTTACATTCAGGCATGTATATTGTATTAATTTGAGTTTTTGCTGATTCATTTTATTCATTCTAACATTTATCAACCCAATATGTTTAAATCTATAGGTTACAGAGTACAGATCTAGTTTTTCGGCAGAACATTGATGAAAGGAAGGAAGTGAGGCAAGTTTAACATCAACAAACCCAGAGAGAGAGTTGTCGTTCCCAAACTGAAGCCTTCAAGCTAGACTGAAATTTGCAGCAGCTCAAGGTTTTCGAACCTGACAACACTGTAACAACAGCCAAGAAAGGTAGTGGTAGCATCATACTGAGGGACTGCTTCACTCCCAATGGTCCTGGTACTTTGCTAACGGTGGACGAAATGATGAAAAAAGAGAACTACCACTTAATTCTTCAACTTCACTCTTAAATTTACTAATAAAGGTTGGACACAGTTGTTGGAGAATAGGTCCAAACACACGTCAGAAATAATTTTGCATGTCTGAAGCTTTTAGAATGGCTCCAACCTCAACCGTACAGTGGATCTCCGACTATTACATACGCTTCTTCTGGACCATATATAAAATATTTAAAAAAAAATTGTGAAGCTGAAAAACCTAAGCACAATACTACTTGACGAGGAGCACCATTCATTTTCCTAGGAAAGAAGACTATTACTGATTAAACTTTTAAAATTATACAATTTTATGTTATTAAAGCTAAAGTTCAATCAGTGAAAGTTTTATAATAAATTTATGTCTGATCATGATTTCTTGGTTAATTACAAGTTGTCATAACAGACATTTTATATTAAAAGTGTCATGATTTGCCAAATGACACTTTATGACAAGTCATAAATATTCATGAAGACTTACTCATGTTTATGATGTGTCATGTTTATGACAGTGTCATGACAGTCTTATTCACAACCCGTCAAATAAAGTGTTACCCTTTTTCTTTATTGGCTATTACAAGATACAAAGAAATCAATCAAAAAAAATGAGGCGATTTGTAGCTAAAGGAAATAATTGGCTGATTTGTATAATGTATATGTAACGCTTCTTCAGAGGCTTTCTGTGCTTATATTTAAGCATTAAGTGCTGAAATAATGTCCTTGTGCTTCTGGTGGTACTGTAAGGTTAATGAACTGAGCTAAGTGTAAATGAAAAGAAAGACAGCAGCTCAGTCCACACCTAAATAACCTCACTCTCAAGCACCACTTGTTCTCCCTTTGGATTTGAATACAGGAAGCAAATTTATTTCAAGGCACCAAAAGATCATTAAACAGAAATCTCATTCTGAAACGCTTTACTGCAAGGAGGAAGCAGAAAAATAATTTTGCAGATTCAGCCAGCAAAGCCTTTAATATCACTGCACGAATCAGTCACGGAGAAACATCCACTGTTGCTAAATCGTGTTGTGATTTCACAAGCCTCGTCTGTCACAAAGCTATACTTTGAAGGCTGGAAATCAGCATTAGAATAATTATCACTTTAAAAGGCATGTCAGTGTGTAGAAAAAGAAAGAACGATGAAGGAAAAAAGGCAGGAATAAATATAGCCTGCTTCTCCGGCTAAAAGCTGGCAGGTAATTTTCTCCAGCTGCTCTATGTGTGACAATCCCACCGGGAGCGAAATCTAATATTAACAGCAAATTATTATGTGGGAACTGTTCTTCCATGACCTGCTGTTGTACCTGTGTGACTAACTCAATCTGAGTAATTGAGATATGTTAGCAAGTAGAATGCGGCCCTGCTGTGACAGCAGAGGGTCGTGTGGAGTGTAGCAGGACTCCAAAAACACCAAAACACCGGAGCTAATTTGCATGTCTATACGCCTTAACTGACAGGGTTCCCTCTCATCATGAGATGCTGGTTTATCTTCTGTGTTTAATATGGATTCTGAATGACAGCAAAGCAGAAATTTCACTATGTTGTACAGATAAAAAAATGGAAAAAGTGCAAATTTTAGAGTACAATACAGCACAGATACATGACTTTCTTCCCCTTTTTGCTTTTTGTTTTTTTCTTACAAATAAAAATCCAAAAACTTATGTTTCTCTAACCTTGTTTAGTCAAAATAATTTTGTAATCTTGCTCCAATCTGAAGTTATTTGCAGCATCTAATAGGATTGCGTTTCACCTCATGTGTTTTTCTTTAGCATCCACAGTTATGCTAGAGAAAAGCCTCCTCACAGCATGATGCTGCCACCACCTTTTCTCTCCAGGAGAATGGTGTGTTCAGAATAATGCAGTGTTCGCCTTCCTTCAAACAGCATTTTGCTTTCAAATGAAAGCTACATTTTGGTCTCTTCTGACCAGTGCATGTTTGATTTGTGTCCAACAAAAATTAAGCAAAACATGCTATGGCTTCATTTTAACAGTTTCAGTCTATTTACTATATTTTGGGTGTAGTTGTTGTTTTTAAATGTGCTATACAAATAAATTTGACAGTGAATTTTAAACTTCGTGCTGATATTGACCATGAGGCCAAAACATTTAGCACATTTACCAGCACCTGCATCAGAAGACATTTCCTCTGCTTTATTAAAGTTTATACCACACTGAGATCACGGTAAATTATTACAAACTCTATATAAACCTCCTTTATGCTGTAACTGATCCCTGTGTGACCAATTAATCAGCATGAAAAGCGCTGTCACTCTAGTTCAAAGAATTTCTAATAATTCAGAATAACTACCTGCCTGTCCTGTCCAAAAAATCATTTTTAATTGTCTCATTAAAAGTTGTTGTGGCTTTGTGTGGGAAAACAATAATACTACCATTTCTGCTTGAATGCAGCAGCTCTTTAATGATTTCCACTTACCTGTGCGAAGCTATGATGTCCTTTTTGTCACCACAGCAACCCAGCTAGTTTGTTAAGATTTCTGCAAAAATAAAAAATCACAGAAAAGTTTGATCGCTTTGAAGGAGCAGACCGACATCACACGACGGCAGACAAAACAAAACAAGGACCTCATTAAAAGTACTGTCATCAAAGATTATGTCTTCTTTGTAACCGGCTGACTAACTGCTGAAGTGAATTTTAATGACAAGCATTTAATCTGAACAGGCGTTTTGCAATAGTTTAATCCTACATAAACACACTTAAAATAAAATTTTTATGAAATATGACAACCTTAATAATTGAAAATATTTAAAAAATTTAATAATGTGCTAACAGTTTGTTAATTTTATCAGCACTATCATCACTCCTTTATCTTTCCAACTCTACGAGAGAAGGCAAGAGAGTTGATAGATTCAGGAGATGTGTTAGTAAGACTAAAACACATCTCCTGGATCTATCAACTCTCTTTAGTCTTACACATTAGTAAGACTAAAACAAAAATATGATCTTTATTATTTAATCTACGTTTGGTATGATATTCTGTCTTTTTACCTGGAAAGTCAATGGTCTGTGGGTATTTGGGCCATACACAGCTGTTACACAGTGGCACCTGACAACTGTAACAAAAAGTATATCAAAATTATTTTGAGAAATTTAATCAGACAAATTTTATCAGTTCTTCTGTTTTCCATAAAATAGTTGGTTCAAGTCATGGCTGCAAATGATCTGTTATTTACTTACTAAGTTAATTTCAGTACTTCTTTGTTTTTCATAGAAAAAAACCTCAAATAGCTTTATTCTCTACACATATTTTTATAAGTTTGGTATTTTTTTTTGTCCTAAAATTAGACATGAAAATGTTTGTTTAGTTTCACAAAGAAAAAAAAAAGATATGTTTCAAATGTAAATCTTCTTGTTCAAGACAAATTTAACTCAGAAAATGGTAGTACAAAAAATCACTCTTTGGATGTAAAAGAGTGATTTTACATGGGAGTATTTTCACTCCTATGTACTGTCAATACCAACAATTAAAGTGTCAAATAATGTAAAAATAAATTGCGAACTTTTTAATAAAAAAGAGTTATCCAAAATTTCTTGACTAAAATTATAATTAAAATATATTTGTTCACTTTTTTTATTTAATTATTTTGTTTTGTTTTATTTATTTATTTACATAATAAATACATTCAATCAGACAGGAATACATTGTGAAACCCGGGAAAATTCACATTTTACTTATTTATTAATTAATTCACACTAATTGTTTAAATATAAATAAACAGCGAAACGCTGTTAACATTTAAGAGGTCGGAGGAGGCACCACGCCGAAGTATGAAACAACCTCACTTTGTAGCATTTTTAGCTAGGCCGCCATTAAAGCAAAACGTAAAGACGACAATAACTTGTTTAAATTCCAGTAGAATGTAATTTTATTTTAGTGTTACTTTGTTATTAGGCATTTACTACCAAAATCTTAAACGGCTAAAAATATGAGCTAAAAAAATACAATATTAACAAAGAAAAAAAGAAAAAAGTTGACTTCACTCACTCCATCCTTGCAGACCAGTTACAAATAGGGCGGGGCGTTTTTATTGACGGACGTTGATGATGACCAATCAAATTCCTCCGTTGGTAACGGACGAAAAAGTTCAGGAAGTAGCTTACAGCAGCTGATAGTGTCTATGCCAGGAAGCTTTAACCAATGTTTCGGGTTTTTCGGGCAGATAAAACGCAGCTAAAACAGATTTTTGAGTTCAGTAGAAAAATGTCTAACATACCCACTGAATGTGGCGCGGCAGAAAACAACAGGTCGGTCCATTCGGACACCATCCAGGAGGTTCACAGCGTTCCTATGGAGGCTATCATCAGACCATTTCCCTCGGAGCTGGACGAGCAGAAAGTCCAGAGTCTGATGGATACCATTAAGGTAACCTAATTATTTTAATGAATACATAAGCAGTCGTTTTTGTGTTATTACAGGAAAATGTTGTCTTGATTTTAAATCAAAAGCTTACACTGGTAAATAACTTTATTCGCAACTTAAACAGTAATTATCTGATTGGTGGTTTGAGCTCTTTACCACTGTGGTATAACCAGTCTTTGTCATGCATTTTATACATTAAACTCTCAAATATTATTCAATTAATTCTAGTTATGTGTTAATATAAGGTGACACTTGAATTCTATACAAAGCCAAAAATAAACCATTACCAGAAACATAAAAACATTGTTTGACTAAGTAAATGTATAATTTAACTAATGCACACATTTGTGTAATAGTAAGTGGAGTGAAATTTTGGTATTATCTGAATATTGAACTTGGACAATGTCAATACATAAAACTGTTCAAATTGTCATATAAACTTGTGGTTATTGCTGGATATAAAATATCACGTTTTTAGTCAATTTTTGTTGGTGTTTTTATTTCATGCTGAAATTTAAGGAAAAAATTATTGTTCATTCACGGAAGTTAAAATTATATAGGTACTATATCAAATAACTATTAAATACAGGCTTTTATATGTATGGATTGTAAATGCAGGATAATCTAGGTGATTAAGGAGTGGGAATTGTGACATGATATACTTTTACACACTTGAATATTTAAAACAAAAGTTTTGACATTATGCTTCTTGCTATATTTTTCAAGTGAAGTCAAGTGATTTAGTTGTTTTATGTTCACATGGTTGCATTAAATAGCATTTTCCTGTCACACCATTTTTATCTCTCCATATTCCTAAATAAAATTTGAATTTTCAATATAAGCATATCGTTTTTCACATTAAACATCAGTTGTGAGGTTTTAAATTGTACAAATCCATAAATTTTATAAGTTGTGATTTGAAATGATGCAAACATCGTGAGTCATTTTTATTGCTCTTCCTTGCACTGTGCATATTTTTATAAAGAACCTTTTTATGTGTTGCCAGACATCCCCAGAACTGTTGAATTAATAATAATATATTTATAGTTTAATTATGAAAGCGCAAGAAAGTTATTTCACTTTAAAACATGTTTTTGTAATACTTGCATGTGTCGTGCTTTGGTGCTATTGTGTGCCCTAATTGACGTTTCGCCTTTCCTTCCAGGAGACACCAGACATCAGTGTTGTTCCTCCTATTGATGTTCTCTGGATCAAAGGCAGAGAGGGAGGAAATTACTACTACTCCTTTGGAGGCTGTCACAGGTTTGCTGCCTATCAGAGGCTCCACATGCCAACCATCCCAGCCAAACTCATCAGATCAAACATCTCAGACCTCAGGACTTACTTGGGGGCTTCAACGCCTGATCTACGATAATTCTTTGGACTTTTTCTTGTTTTGACTCACTATATCCGAAGTGTACAACTCCAGCCCTCTATTGAATTATGAAGGCCTGCAGATCTCTATTATTAATGAGCCACTCATTTCATCTATGTTACATGTATAAAACTCAAGGCTCGTGGGCCAAATCTGGTCCGCTGAAGCTTCTTATGTGGTCCTCTAGATTCCAGAGGAACACATAAATAGAAACTTCAAGATAACATTTGTGTGATTAAATATTATTTTATCAATCAAATCACTTTTTTATGTGTATACTGCCAAATTACATCCGTCAGTCCCTCCAGTTTTTTGCAACTCTGCAATTCTGTAAATACAACAATTGCCTGCAATTTTTCGCGTTAATATAAAATTCTGAGTTTATTGCAAATTTTCCCCAAAAGCCAAAAACATTATGTTAACATAATGCTACCTCCCACCAGAAGGTGGCAGTATGTCTTCCTCCTAATGCAATGCTACCTCAGCCTTACTTGATGTAAAGTTATAGTCCATGATTGATATGGTGAGTAACAAAAAGACAAATTTTCCTTCAAATAACCAAAAAAATTGCAAAAATCCTTGCAATTGGCTCCACAGAAATGTCTGTAACTTTAAGTTTTTTTTTAAATCACAAAAACAATAATGAAATCCACAAGGGACTAATCGGTATGAAAAGATACTCAAGAGGAACTTGTTCAATGGAGACAAACTATTGATTAATATTTTAGCAGTTAATTGGTTTAACTTATAAATCCTGCCATAACTGGCCGTTTAAGAAATAGAGGTTTCAAAATGTATTTGAAACCCCTGATTTAGATGTTTTCAATCATTACAGTATGTGAAATGCTTTTGACTCCAGATTTAGACGTTTGCTCAGGAGAATCACACTGTGACTGCCAGCTGCAGCAGGTGATTGCAATGCACAGGATTTACCAGCAGGGGGAAACAAAGCTCTGGATGTTCCCACATTCCTCATGTCAAATTGCTGCATGTTTAAATGTTTAGTTTTATAAAGCAAATACTTCTCAGTAAATTAAAGCTTCTTTAATGTACCTTCTTACATTTTGCATAAGAAACTGAATCCATAATTCATCACGTGGTTGATTATTTTTCTGTTGTGATAGGTTAAGTTGTTGTAGTTGTGGATTTATTTAAATAAAGAAGAAAGTCTAATATTTTCTAAATTAAAATCATACTAACAACAGAAACAAATTTCTAAATATTTTCTTATGTTGAACTTTTTTTATTCCAACCACAGCATGACTCTGCTATTTTCTAATGTATTTTTTTAAAATTCTGGTCTGGAATGAAAAGAGTAAATTATAATTTTAATTAGCCAGACATCCCATAAAAATATCAATATTTTAATATATTTAAAAATATTTTTTTATGTTTGTTTGACAGTTTTCAGATGTTCTCCCTGTTTCTTTACGCGCAGTCGGCTTTAACTCTGACACTGTAGACAGCACAGGAGATTAGAGACCAGATGTTTTGTTGGAGGAATCAGATGTTCAGAGAATATTCTGATGACACAATGCAAGATGCTGTTGAGTCTTGCAAAATTATCCCATTCTACCTGTCATCAGACTTCTGTTGCCATCGTCTCTTTAAAGGATCAAAAATCCTCCTAACAAAATATCATGTCAAATCTTTACTAAGTCATGTACAATTTAAATAATTTGTGTTATACGTAGTGCATTGCAGCAATATTTTTAGAAATACATAAACTTCTTTGTGTATGTTTTTATTTTGAGTCGCTGAGAGCGGCTCACTAAATCAAGTTGGACAGCTGCTCCCCTGTCTCTGCATCGGCGGAAGGAACTGAAGTTTTGCCGAAAAATGTAGGTAAAACATAGACGAGGCTTTTCCGACGTTAGGGCTCTCACAGTGTGAGCTGGGAGCCGTTTGACGATCTCCCTTTGTGGCCATCGAGGAAATGAAGGGCGACCCGGGGCCAGTTTCAACCGACGGGCCTTGAAGGACTCTGAATTGTTGCGTGTGAGAAGATTTCCTGTAGCTCACTCACTGTCTGGAAGTAACCATATCCTCAAAGGGGGTTTGACACGCAATACCGGTCTGAAAAAACGCATTGCACCTGTTGCTGCTGGGTCCGCTTTCCATGGGTGGTTTTACACGCTTTCTCTTTGAGGATTTCAACCAATCAGAAGGTCAAGAGGGAGGAACTGGTTCAGGCCTCGTGATTTTTTTTTTTTCCTTTCTTTTACTTAGTTGTCTGTATTGTTTGTTTATTTGTAAAAGTGTTGATTAACTATATTATTTGTAAATTGCTTACCTATATTTTAAGGTTTAGTTCAGATCCTTTGCTCATAAATCTGGTGTAGAGATTATTATGTCTCATTAATTGAATCATAATTGTTGAAGCTACAGAATTATTATCAGACTTGGACATGGTTGCCTTGGAGCAAGAAGGTCTTGGGTTCAAATCCCACTTTCCATCTTCTGCCTGTGCCAGAGTGTCTTCTCTTCTGGTACTCTGACTTCCTCCCACAGTCCAAAAATGTGAGGTTATGTTAATTGGTTTGTTCAGTTAATTGGTAATTGGTGATTTTTTTCAGGGTATGTTAAAAGAAATATTGACATTTTTTCTGAAAAGTGATAAAACTGATGAATCCTTATGACTGAGTAAAGATTCAAGGTGGAGTTATGAAAATAGATTTTTTTTTTTAGCTTTATGTTGTTCTTTCTTCAAAAACATACCTGAAGTGTTGCTTTGATTCTTTTATGCCTGTTTCAGAAATCCTTTACTCTCTGTTGGCAGCCATTCAGCTGGCCCTAAATGGTTTCTTTCACAAAGCTCCGCCTCTCCACAGACCACCCGTCTCCCACGCTACTCCTTCAGACTAGTAGCAGCAGCAATTAGCAAACATCTGGCGGACTGTGCATCTGCTGAGCTCTTCATAGGAACTACTTCTCATTTCAGTGCTCTTAAAAATGGTTGTAAACATCATATTGGAGGAGCGCTGTTGTGATGGCACTCTGAACGCAGCGTATTAGAAAGAGAAGGAGCTTCTTAAAGAGACAGAGGCCCAATTCCAAAGCATCAAATTGTGAAGTAATTTTTCTTTTATGTCATATTTAATACATGCAGCATTTTTATATTAACTGAAGCTAAGGTATTTACTTGATTGTGTCACAAATTGGCACTGCGGGCCTGGAAAATACATAATACTCCTCCTGTAAAAACATTTAACTTGATCAAAACTCTAATAATTTATTTTACTTTAGATGAAAAAGTTTGAATTAAGGCTTTCTTGCATAACTTGACATTCTAAATATGAGAAAAAGATTGGAAAGTAAACAGAAAAAGCACTTTAAAAAGAAGATAGCCTTTGAGGTCCAGCAGGTCCATGCACATTAAATCAGCCCTAGATAAACTTAGCTGCTTTACTCTTTGCCTTGGGTTGTGTTGTGTCACCTGTCAGTGAACTGGACAGCGTTCCTTGACCCGTGGTTCTGAACGTCCTGTTTCTTAGCTCAGTGGAGGAGGGAAATCACTGCGCAACATCTGTTCAACCCAGCCTCAAGGTTGACTCTCCTGGGAGGGTTTTCTTCTGGCACTGGCATACTCTGGATCCAGAACCAAATGGTGACAAATTTGAAAAACGATCCTCCTCCATAAGCTGGATTCTAGTCTCTCCTGCAGGTGAAAGAGGCAAAAATAATCAGAATTTTAACCCAGTCAACCTGGGACGGATTAATCCAACTGGGTTCCTTTGCTCGTACTGGTTCTGTAACCCTTAATCTGTCATTTTTTCTTGTGTGTTTATCTGAGCATTTAGCATCTGTCACCCTATCAATAGTTATTGGGAATCAAACATTTATCTTTTTGATATTAAAAAATGTTTACATCTTTCAGAGACAGTTTCATAACTTTAGATGTCGCTGGCAGGAGCTGCAGTGTTACTCCTTCAAGGCCACTCATAGCATTGAAATCTTTCAAATAATCTGCTGTTAATCTAGTCAAATCATATCTTCCAGAAAAAGAGCAACAAAGAATCCTCAATAAAGGGTTGAAAACATGTTGGTTATTTTTTAATGCTTTGGAAATCATCAGAATTTTTACCCTGCTTCAAATTTTATATTTAATCTCCCCAAAATACAACAAACTGTATTGTTGTGGCATGATAAAATGCAGCAAAGTTTAAATGGTATGAATGATTTTTCAAGGCTATAGCTTCAGATGGATTTAAGACATTTTTTTAATTCTTCTATTAGAGTCAGGATAAGTCCTATTATTCGGTTTTTAGTTGTGACAGTCAGGTTTTAAAGGGAATCTTTTATGCAAAATTCACATCTTACAAGTTTTTTAACTTTCATTTGAGTCTCAAGTTCTGCTAACAACAGCTGAAAAACTTCCCAATTGTTAACTCACAATAAGTGGACTATGCTCCGTTACCTAGCAACCCCACGCAAGTTTAGCCTATCACCGAGTAGAGTTCAATTACTTTAGGTCAGCTGCGTTGTACAATGGCTGCTGGAAATGATAAGTGTTTTTTGTTGTTGACTTAACATCCAGAAATCACTTGCTGCATTCTTGTTGGTTGTGCAGGAGGCTCTTCTAATGCTTTTCAAAGATGTACAGTTGTATAATTGCAAATCTGTTTGCGGCCATTTTTATGTGTGAGTGGAAACGTGGAGTTGGGGGGTATGGCCAAGAGCAGCTTATTTGGATTTAAAGTGACAGCCCAGACTGACACTAAAATCTCATTATGTAAGAATTATTTTGTACAAAAAATTTAATGAACAACCATGGACCTATACTAAGCTGTTCAAGGAAGCATAATTGGTCACCTTTATTATAATCTACTCTTTACAAATGGCAAAACTTCCATTTAAGGCAAGCAATTAATCTCCACATCTAGCAGCACATAGCAATTTCATAAGTAATGTTTGGATGTTGTATATTTCTTATTAGTTGCCCAAAAATGAGACATCCAGTAGGTCATCCTGAATCCCAGTTTTTGACTTTTAAAGGACATTAAATCCACAGATGAACCTTAACTCAAAGTCTGTTGCTCCACTTGAAGTTAACCTGATCAATGACCCACTGTAACATGTTTAAAGTCATAAACTTTGAAATTTACCAGTGTGTTGAATGAAACGTTGCTTTTAATATGGAGTCTTGGTCAGTAAAGCAAAGTGAAGTCACGTTTTGGGCATCTTTACTGCTGCATGTTTTGTTGTAGCACAGCTAATTTTAGAGATTAAACTTGCTTTTCCTAACGCTTGGATGGGTTCTCTCCAGGTCCTCTGGTTTCCTCCCAGTTCAGTACAAAAACATGAATGCTGGGTTAATTGGTCTTTATAAATTGCTCTTAGATGTTAGTGTGTGTGTGCATGTTTGTCTACCCTGTGTGTCTCTGTGGATGAAACGGTGACCTGTCCAGGCCCTGCGACCCTTGTGACCCTTGTGACCTTTGTGACCCTACCTCTTGCTCATTGACTACTGGAGATGGCCACCAGCTGACTTGTAGATTAACTTTCAAAAATATACAGTTTTTCTTCTGCTCTTTCACCGCTTTTACTAATATTAATCTTTTTCTTTCATGTCTCTCTCCTCTTTTCTGTGTTTGGTGATTTCTAAAGTCTGAACAAGTTTCTTGTCACATTACTAACTAGATATGACTTATTAGTTTTTCATCACATTGTCTTTCTATCCAGCAGAATATGTTTTAATTCAAAACTATGTAACAAAAGCGATAATAAATATTTAATGGCGCTAGATTTGTAAAAGCCTTAAGATAAGGCTAAAGGTTTCATTAAGTGGAAAAATGCAATTTTGGTCATTCTTCACCTGTTTTTCTGATAAGTGAAAACACTAATTGAAGCAGATGTTTTCTGGTTTTTATAAATCAGGAATTGCATCCAAGCAATGGTGAACAAACAAGCTGAATATTTTCTATTTGCATAATTTATCATTTTTCTCTTTTCTTTCTACCTTTCTACCAAAAACTGGATGACAAAAGTCTTCAGGTTGGTTCTTTGTGAAGGACAACTTTGTTTACAGAGTCTGATTATAGCTTAATTTATTGGTCGTTTCTGGTATTTTATTTATTTATTTTGTATATTTAAAATGTCTTCCGGTTCTAATGTTAAATGTTGATTCGAATTTAAAGATAAATCTTTGAGAATAT